ATTGGATTGATTATTGAAATAATCGTCAACTAATTTATTAACAGATAAATCGTTAACTGGAGTGAATAAACTCTAAAATGCATCTTTATTCGACAGAGAAACACACTATGTAGCAATTATAACAAAATTGTAAAACAAAAAAAAAGTAAACATTTCGCATTTAAGACAAAAAAAACAAACAAAATATGTCCTTAAATAGGCTCTATCCAGAACTCCTTAAGTGGAAATGATTCATTATTAATCGATAAAAAAATAAAAAAAGACAGGTTAATCAATTTGCAGAAATAATCGTTAGTTTGCAGCCCTAATTAGCTCCTTTGTCTAAAGCACAGATTGTTCATTCTTTGTTTTTCTCTGTCGACATTTGACCAAATAATGATTCATCTATCATTGCTTTAGAAGCCAACTGTTCTAATTTAGTTTCAAAGCTAATTTAACCTCATTCCAGATTCTTTGATTTTGGTTTTCTCTCTTTCTTTCGCTGGGTACAATTACTTTCAATTTTTAACATGAATGTCGAGTTAAATTCTTTTTGTTAATGTTGATAAATCCTCATATTTTGAGTGAATTATGTGTTTTTATTGCATGTGTGAGCAGAGTTACGCACACGCGATAAAATGCGTGTAACTCTGAGGAAGTCCTGACCTGCGTTACAGGACGCCACGGCTTCGGTGATGTTTGGGCAGAACACGGCGAAGTCGAAGTGACACGGCTGAGAGGAGAGAGCAGAGAGACAGAGTTAGCTTCAATCTGTCACAGATAAAAAAAAAAAAAAATCTACACCAAAGCTACAATACAGACATAGTTTTGCAACAATAGTTCTGGAGCATTTGGCGCAAAACTGAGAATATAAGAGGTTTTTGATGTGCAACTTGTACAACAGAATGTGTGTATTTGTACTTAAAATTTGAAGAGGTGTGAAGAAAAAAACAAAAAAGAAATTGTACTTTTTATTTTTAATCCTACAAATAGAAAACTGAGAATGTAACTCTGTCTACAACTTCAAATTGACACTTACAGCACAGAAATAGAACCTTCATAGTTCCTGGTTTACCAGATTTGAACCCAGAACAGAAGCAGACATGGAGGTACGGGACGCTTTCTGACTCACCACCAGCAGCTTCAGCATGGCAGCAGAATCTCGCTCCCCCGTGGCGTTAAACAGCAGCACTCTGACCACAGCTCCACTGAAACACATCAGAGGGTTTAAGGGAACCTGTGTGGAATAATCAGGCTTCCTACAGCATGAGGTGAGTTCAATTCAAGACTTTTTAATGCAACTTGAAATAAAAATTTTAGATCAAATTCACAAGAGACACAAGAAAAACCTGCTTGCGACAACTTAACCCAAAGGTTTATTTTAACATAAACCACTGCACTAATGTTTCAACTTTTGAAAAGCTTCCCATACAGGAAGAAAGCTAAGTTGCTCATATTTTCCAGACAAAAAGTTAATGGTGCATCTCCCAAATGTTCTGCCCGCAACAACGCTTTATTGGTTCCGCTATCGAGACGGAACCAATAAATAAAATTTAAAATTTTTTTTTAAATAATAATAAATAAAAAAAGTCAATTATAACGTTTTATTTAGATTACAAAAATTAATCGTAATAAAAATGATCCTATTTACGATGTTTTAAAAACTAAGACCTACAAAAGACTGATTTAAGACATTTTAATACCAATTAAGGCCTTAATTTTATGTTGAAGAATTCAATGACTTTTAAAGGAATAGTACACCCAAAACATGAT